AAGGAAAAGCGAAAAAGAGAAAAGGAGAAGAAACATTATTGATTGAAGATACAAAATCAAGAAGAAACGACAAGCGGACCTTTTCATTTGGAATCAATTCTATTGCGAATCGACTCAACTTATTGAATTTGCACTCGTAGTCATAAATAGTTTGGTTTCCTTGTTTTAGATTGAGGAGTTTCTGTTTCATTTCTCGAATGAACTGATCTCCAATATATTTGTTCTTGAATTACTTTTGAAAGAATTGCCAAGTCATTTCCTCAAGAGGGACATGCATAGTGGAATTCCTCCACCAAACTCGAGCCTATCCTTAGAGTGCTGACACGGATCCTTCCAATTTCTCTGTCTTGTTACAGTGGAATCCATCCATAATAATCTTGACATCATTAAGCAAAAGATTAGCAACAACTAGGCCCTCATCCGATGCTCCCTTAAATTCAGGAGCTCCTAAAATCTTTAAGTCTTTAGTGATTGATACTCGAGGAGCTGAAGCAGTAGGTGGCTGAAAACGCGTAAGGATTGCATCCGAAGTTTGAAAGAAAAGTCCCCTGATCCTGTACAAGCACTCCCTGTTGTGTCGATGCACCACCTTGCTCGGATTGAATAGAAGGGCATTACTTCCACTCTTTATTCCTTCCTGAACCTTCTATTCATTTGCTCGTCTCTAACCTTTTGTCTTAAACATCTAATACAAACACATATCAACTTACCTCAGTAAGGAGCGACATCAGTCATATAAATACCATATCATTAATAATGACATTCTAGTGACATGTATATATTTTTTAACTTAAAAAAGACTAGATTTAGGCCTAGAATCGGATAAAACTACAGCTCTGATACCAATAAATGTAACACACTCTTCCCATGCTTGTCACTGAATATAAGTGAAAGATGTCACATGAAACATCTAAAGTATTCCTTATTCAAAAATCAGTAAAAATTTTGTTTCTTTAAAAATCATTCAATTTAAGATCAATGACCACAAACTATTTAATCGCTTAAAATCAAAATATAATATTTTAACATTCAAATCAAATACATTTTATGGCAGCAACCAAGTAGTTTATAACTATATCATATAATAAATAAAACTGCCTAAAAATAATTTAAAATAAAATTCATTTCTAAATCCAATTAAATCAACCTTACCAAAATGTTCATCGACAAACCATATTTATAACTAGTATAATTACTTACTATATATTAAGATCCATACATATAATATACTACAACCCATATAAGAGTGATAGTCATGTCAAAGTATCATTAACACATATTATATAGATTCCAACTAGAAATATGAAAGAACAACAAAAAGATGCCATACATATACAAGGAAAATGATCCTCGATAGGTGATGTCAAACTAAGCTCCTTAATCTACTTTATTTTCTTTACTCACACGTAAAAATCATCACACTCAAGGTATACACTTAGTGAGGCATTTTCATATTTAAAGTAAATTATATTTATATATAAAATATCATATAAACCATAATATGGAAAATATCATATAGTAATATATGAACATATAAAACAGACTCACCAAAACCATTTTTTCTCATCATATATCCTGAAAATCATCAGTTTTTATATATAACATTTAATATTAAACCATAATATTCGATGAAGTAATTACTTTCAATCGAACATATCAAACCTGCACTTTTTAATTTCATTCAAATCATAGCCCAATGTATAATGAATAAGAATGCGAGTCACATACAAATATACACAATTTTTACTTTTAGTTCCGTATAAAATATACAAAGATACCATCAACACAAACATATCAGTGTACTAGAACATGAATACTACAACATCATTAACACATTCGTGTCATATATTGTATCCTGAGAGTACGAAAGCACCATCAACACATACGTACTATGTACCAATACTCCACCTCATGGCATGCCAATTATACCAAAGACTCTCAATATACTTAGAACGGGCATTTCATCAAAACTATATATTATCCATATATCAAAGATATCTATATCGATAATTATATCAAAATATCATATGATAATGCATTGGGCAATTCATACCCGAAATCATTCAAGTTTCATTTAGCAAATATTATCAAAAACGTATCATAAAATGATTCAAATCATTTTCATTTATAAAACATTCAAGGTTGCCTCATTGCAAGCATTCCTTGTATCATATATAATAGTATAAGGTATGGTAATGCACTCACCTGATATGCCTCATTAGCAAACCTTTTTAACGATAAGCTTTACTCTTGAACTTTTTCTTAACTTTAAACTCACTTCGATCTCAATTTTGGTCACGATTTACATGTTCATCATTAACAAAACACATACATTTCAAAGTACATGTTAGTATCTTACTAACATAGGTGCATAATAGGAAATAAATTCGTAAAAAATTTCTAATTCTTATTTGATGCGAAATCCATTTCATATGATCAATATCAATCATAATACTTCAAATTACAACTTCAAAACCCTCAATATTCAATTCAATGAATAATTCACATAACTATTTCCAATTTCACAATTTAATCATCAAAATGAATTATTTTAGAATTCGTCCTAATATATCCAAACTATTCAAAATGATCCATTGCCATTAAACTTCAAATTCAAATTTTCAACAACTCGTTCAAGCATGATAATCAATTTCTAACCAATTTCCACTTCAAACCCAATATTCCTACGTCTTGCAATTTGGTCCAATAACCCTTACATATTTCTAAATTAGTCCAAACAACATCTAAAGCTTTTAAAACATCCTTTTATCGTATCTAAGCTTGATATAATTTTTCCTAATTATTTCCCTTATGGTCGAATATCAAAGGGTATTTTTGGTATGATCTCCAACTTGATTCAAGTATGAATTCAACTTCCAAACATCATTTCTAAGCATTTACAATCAACATCATATCAAAATCAATTCAACCTTAATTTTCTATAAAAACCCTAGCTTGGTCGAACATTCCTTTAACCATTTGTACTGGTTTTCAATCATCTTTCAAGAATGAAAATGATTCTATAATACCAACTACATCATAATCAAGCCTTAGAACATAGAAACCTAACCTCCCCTTCATCCATCTAATTTAAAAAATTAGGGTTTTAATCATGGAAAGTAAGAAGAAATAGTACCAAATGATAGAGAATTTCATATAGATTAATTTTATATTTCATGCTTTCATCCAAATTCCTAATAAATTGGGGTGAAAATCAAAAAGAAAATATTTCCTTGCCTTGGGAGAAGCTCACGACAATGGAGAAAGATGAAGAGAAAAGTCTTGAAAATTCTATGATAAAAATCTTAAGCCATTTCTCCTTTAATTAATTAAAATATTATTTTAATGTCAAGTGATCATTTTGCCCTTATAATCACATGCTTCATAACTTTCCACATGTCAAATTGTTCATCTAAAGGTAAACAATAAACCAATAAGTTAGTAGTTACCAATTTTGCCCTTGAAAACTTCTAAAATTATAATCTTGTCAATTTTCATCAAACGATTGATATTTAATATGAAAAATCAACTTAAATCCAATAGTACATATTAAATTTTACCATTTTAAGGCATTGAAATAACATTATTAACCTTTCCTTATCATCCTTCAAAATATCTCAATTATTCAACTTGATCTGATTATTCGAATTTTTGTCGAACTTTGTCGCTTTATAACCGTTAATACAAACTTTGTATGAAAAATCCAGGTAACACGAAAATGCCATTCTTTGAGGTAAACTATTCATTTACGGCACTAAAATACATAATTTTTAAGAAATTATAATTTAGTCCCTAAACATTTCCTAAGTTTATATTTTGGCCACTAAAATTTCAGTTTATTCATTTTGATCACTAGCCAAAATTTTGAGGTATTACAAATTATCTAAGCCACTGGTGAAGAATAAAAACCAGTTACATAACTTTTTGCACCGACATAATCTATAATATATATATATATATATTTAATTAACAATTCTAGAGAATATTTTAATTGATAATAATAATAACAATAATAATAAAAATTAATTAATCTAATTTAACATTTGAAAAATACTTTTTGAAAAATAAAAAAATAGAAAAATATTAAAATTAAAAATCCTTTAACAAATTGATTAATTTATGACATATAGACAGAAAATTCTTTTAATATTATGGAAGATTGTGAACATGTATTTATTAAATTGACGTTTAAAAAATAGATTTTCCAATCATATGCATATTAAATCTTCATTTGAAACTAATAATAATTAGTTATACCATACACATGAGTAAATTTTTCATAGTACACAATAACTAATAATTATTACAATATAAATAGAAATATCTAAAAAAGAATAGAGAATTGAGTAATAGTTTTTTTATTAAGCTAAGATGATTACAAAATAATATATGTTTTAAATACTCTCAATCATATGATAATGAACACTCAATCATTTTACTGCAACTGCTGATATTAAAAAACTGTGACATCTAAGAACAACAATGATTCCTTTAACCATAACTATTGATGTAAATTGATTCGTGTAGCACTAAGTAGTAGTTATTCGAAAAGGAGGTATCAAGTCATATTCTAATAAAAATAGTAGGGTACTAAGAAAAATGTTTTGGAAGTCAAAGTTAGATTACAAATTTTTGAATGGCGAAAATATAATTTCATCCTTGTTTTATGTTGAAAGTATTCTTTTAGGCTCAAACAGAAGTCTATTGTTTTGGGGGGGGGGGTCCAAAGGTAATTTTGTAATTATTTTGGGTTTATAACCAGAAAATTAAAGGAACGAAAGGGGAAATATTATGATATTATGTTTTGTTTAACCTTTTTATTGGAATATAAAACAATTTGTAAAAATATATTTTAATAATAAAATCGATGAATATAAAAGAAATGAAATATAAACAGTTATTTTTAAGTAAAATATCAACATGTGTATTGATTGCGTTCAATTTCAACCTACTTCATCATCACCATAACATCCACCATAAAGTTCTACAGGTTACACTAAAAGAAAAATCATACCATAAAATGAAGGCAACTTAATGCTGGATTATTCATACTAACAGCAACTCCTTGAGAAGCAAGATCCCAGATCTTGAGACAAAACACTGCTGTTTCTTGACCAATGTATAATCCATTTCACTCGATATGATCAAAAAATTGTTAATTTAGCCGAACAATCAAGCTAAACTGCTGGAAAATGAGGCTTATATATTCCTTTGGTAATGTACAAAATAGGATACAGTTGCTGCCTTCTTACAAATCATAACTGGAGTGAATTTTTGTGCTTTTTCATGGGGGAAATACTTGCTTTTTACATTTGCAATGCCTTGATTAAGAAAAGAGGTAATTCATTCTTTGGAAAATCATTGCGGATGAAAGGGAGCTTCCATGAGTCCACCTCATTCCATGACTGTGATTGCTGAAACAAGCAACAGGGAACCATATATATAAAAAATCACCCCTTTTATAACAGAACATAACGTGTGTATGGTAAGTGAGCTAACCTGATGACAGGAAACCTGTTGTCTTTTTAGACGTCATAAGGAACCATTAAGCATCATTAAGTTAATGTGTTGGACTAGTATCACCTGGAATACGATCCACTTGTGCCATCGCCTTCGGAGCAGGCTGTGATGCCGCAGCCCCAGGGGGCTGGAACGATTGTGGGATGAAACTACCAGCCGAAGGTACAAAAGGTGAACGTGACATGGACCTTAACCCAAGCATGCTGACTGTAGCTTCTGTTATAGGATCTGCTACTGGCACTAATGAAGGCGGAAACTGTGGTGGGGCGCCGCAGCCGACACCCATTTGCATTCTCATACCCATTCCAACTGCCATGGGAGAATAGCCACCCAAATGTTGAGCATTTATCTGTTGCATTGTCGAAGGCGAGGGGAACATCATCGGTGGCATATAAATCCCATTTCCCATTGACATCAGCTGCTCTAACATCCCATGGTTAGCGCTCTACTTTAACACTAGAATAAATTGTAATGGAAGAACCAGAAAAGGACTACCTGAACTTGAAGCTGAAGGGTCTTTAAATACTCTATTGCCTCATCAAGCATCGAAGCTTTATCCACCCTAGTACAGTTCGGTATGAGCTCTTTCAGTGCACGCATCTTCTTGTTGATTGTATCTCTTCGCTTCTATAGATATGAGCAGGAAACAAACACCCAACAGCTTATCAGATTTCACTTTTGGCAGTGAAGTGTTACGTAAGTTGGTAGTACTTGGTCTACTGATCTTACCCGTTCAGATAAGCTGTGGACTTCTGTTTTTCTCTTTCCTTTAGCACCTTTGCTTCCTCTCGTTCCCTCTGGTTCTTCCATATCTGTATTCTGCATCACATATGGAAATCCTATGAGTTAAAGGAGAAAAGCTATTGAAAGAAGAAGATAATGAGAAATTATACGTACTTTACTGAGATCAGTGTCTTCATATCTCCTCTTCAAAGGGTATGAAGGACAGTTTGAAGCACCACGCGAACACAAAGAAGATGATGCAACCATTTGCTCAGGATTTTCCTTAAAACCTGTATTATCCGGCGCTAAGGTTGAGGATTCATAAACCTCATTAAGTAACTTTGAATTCGGAATTGCTTCGGATTGTTCATCAGGATGTAACACTTTTTGAGGTGACTTCATTTTCTTAGCCATTAAATTCCCTTCGTTTTCCAAGAGATCGCCCCTTGGAGGCAAAGATTTGACATTATTCCCTCGTAAATCCTCATCACCTGCAGCTAGTACTTGACTGCTCGTTGCTCTTGTTGCACCGGTGCTTAAGAACATGGAAAAGTTCACCTTATCTTTTTCCTCATCAAACCTTGATTTTTTCTCCCTTGGTCCCATATCCCAAGTTTCATACCGCTGCTTCATGGACGAACAGGGTACCTGGTCTGCTATGAGTTTAGGCACGTCGCTTTGTTTCAACCTATCGTAACATCTTTTATCGGCTCCCAAAACAGCCCTCGAGAGAACCGATATCGGATCGGCGAACGTAGAATCTGCAACCCCATCCTTTGATCCACTGGTGGTACGAGTTTTCCCTTCGATTAGTTGAATTCCAGACGAAGGTCGAGACAAATAACGTGTCGAGAACGGTGTAGTTATCTTCGACGATAAACCTCGAATGAGAACTTCACCATTTTCCCATACCAGCTCCATGAACTCCGGGTCATGCCTGTATTATTACAAGAACTTCAATACATATATGACAATACTATATATATATAACCGAAGGAAAACAGTACACCATGGAAATGCAAAATAGGTAAAAAAAAATGCTTGAAAAACGTACATGGAAGGTAAATTAGGCAAGTGACCTGTCATCCTCGATGGAGTTTTGTGGCCGACTGTTGCTAGCCTACCTATAACCTACATCCATAATACTCAACACAGATTCTTCCTATTAATCTCCTTTTTCATCTTTCTTTATATTTCTAAAGGAAGAACGATAATGAAGAAAAACGAGAAGGGAAGATATATGTGAATTTGTTTTACTACCCAACCAACGAGGAAACCCCACATGGGCATGCCTAGAAGAGACTCATCCCAGCTAAAAATGCTCCAAAAATGGGCATCAAATCAATCGCCAGGCACAGTCCGTAAAATTATTATACAACACTGATAAGACGGTGAGATTGGGAAGATCCCTGAGTTTGAAAAATGAGGCGTCCACAAAGAACCAAAGCCTGTCTCATCATTAAATAGATTGTTGCGTGGAGATTAGGTATCCACACCGGAGAAAGGTGGCCAGGTTCATTGCCCCACCACCAAAGAGGATTTATTCTTAATAATGATTTTGAGTTTTTAATAAGAAGCTTGACTATTTTGAGACCATTTAAATAATGTTTTATCTAGGCCCTGGGGAAAAACGTTCAATTTGAAAGAACTAGACCATCTATTTCGATCGGTTACTAGACAAAAATACTACTATGGAAGCATCTTTATTCCCCGGGGGAAAAAAGCAGAGGAATCGAAATGGAAGAGAAAAAGATGTTCTTAAATTGTGATTTAAATTATCCATAAATCTATATTTTATTAAATTTTATATTTTACAATATGTGGATCGTGTGTTGAAGCCAAAATCAAAGATTTTATTGATGTTTAAACAATTGAAGAGTAAAAAAATATTCCTATTTTCATTGAAACTCAATTTCGAGTTTATAATAAAACTAACACAAACAAAAAGATGTAATATATAAAAATGTTTTATATTCTAACCTAAATTATAATTGGTAATTAAGGTAGATTTTAGTTTAATTATAGTAGTTAAAGGTTATTTGATATTTAAGTTTATTTAATAAGTAATACTTATTTTTGGAAAGAAGTTGTATGGAGTAAGTCTTATCCTTTAGTATTATGAGAGAGGATTATTTTGGATATGTAATTTTTTGTGCTCTTTGTAATTTTTGGGGTTTATTTTGTAAAGATAAGTTTTGTAGAGATATTGAAAGGGTGATTTGGGATACTCTGGGTTTTGCTATAAATACTGAATTTTAATATGCATGTGATATAATGTATTTGTACTATTTGTGATCTCTACATTTATAGTGGATTATTATTTTTCTCACTGTGGAGGTAGTCAAGTGTTAGGATTTGCGGAAGCTCGAATTGACAACAGAAAAAGTTGCAAGAGGGTGAATTGGCAATAATTTGATTAGGGAGTAAGGAGAGTATAAGATAGGAAATTTGACACAAGGATATATAGTGGTTCGACTTATCAACCAAGTCTACTTCCACTACCTAAGCTCCTCACTTAGGATTTTCTAACAAATTCACTAATTTGTTCTTTCTTTCTAAAGGATCAAGTGATAACATTTACACTCCCTAGTTTTTCACTTGGCTAAACTAGAACCAAACCCCTTTTACAATAAGAAAGATAACGTAAACAAGAAAACCCTTACAAGGTAGGTGTTTACAAATTGAAGCGCACTAAAACACAATATTTACAAGAGAATAGAAAAATAAGAATGAAAAATTCTTCTCTTGTGTTTGATTTCTTGGATAAGTGTTATAACACTTCTTCAAGTGTCTTGAACTTGTATTTATATGTTGAAATGTTGTTGTGGTCGTTTCTAGCCGTTAGAACCGTTTTGGAGCCATTATGGATCAATTTTCGTGCAAAATAAAACTTCCCAGTACAGAGGGTATCGGTAATCCTAAAGGAAGTATCGGTACTACCTTTGTTATTTTTAAATCAACTAGTTGTTACTAGCCATTGGGGCATGATGGTATCTGTTGAGTTTATCGATCGATGAAATTACCAAGAGGGGGGTGAATTGACAATTAAAAATTTGGTGGAAGCTTTTGCGAAAACTGAAAATAATTGCACAACGATTTAGAGTGGTTCGACTTTCTCAACCAAAGTCTATGTCCACTACCTTAGCTATCCACACTAAGGATTTTCCAACAAATTCACTAATTTGTTCTTTCTTTTGAGGACAAAGAGTAACCTTACAACTCCCTCAAGAATTATACCCCAAATTCTTGAGAACACCTCTCCCATAGAGAAATACACAAATTTCACAAACTTATAGAAAAGCCTCACAAGGCAAAATGTTTGCACAATTCTAGAACAAAGGAAGAACACTCAAGAATAATACAATTGAGCACAATAAGTGTTCTTGAAAGCAAAAATTAATATTGAATGAAAATTTGGCTTGAAATGCTCAAACTTAATGTTTGATGCTTTCTCTTTGATTCTCTCTCAATTCTTGTTTCTTGTTGTTTATCAATGGCTCTAAGCTTGTTAAATACTCCTTGGATCACTTCTGAACGTTGGGGATCATTAGTGGAGTCAATAAAGCCGTTAATGTGTGAAAACAATTAAATAAAACAATTGGGAGTGTGTATGCATCGATGCATAGCCAAGGTGCATCGGTACACTAGGTGTAAAATTAAAATATTTCGACCGTTATAAGACTTAGTACATCGGTACACTAGAGGTGCATCAGCAAACTAATTACATTCGATGTTTCAAACAAGCCAGGAGTGCATCGATGCATGGTCTGTGCATTGGTACACAAAATGCATTCGATGTTTCAAAATATTCAAGAGTGCATCGATGCATGGCTTGTGCATCGGTACACAAAATGCATTCGAAATGGGTGTGCATCGATGCATCAATGTAGTGCATCGGTACATCACTTTGTAAATTTGATTTTTGGCCGATTTTGGTTCGAAATACTTTGTGAAAATTGTTTCAAAAATATTTGAAGTATAAAACACAATTTTACACTTTAGTAAGGATTGAAATTGAACTTTGAAAAACTTGGAGTAATATTTTGATGTTCGAATAATTGAATCGAATATACTTTGAAAATGATTTGTAAAATCTTAAAATTCATTTATACTTAATTTGTTATATAGAAACATCAAAATGTTTTCAACAATCTCCCCCTTTTTGATATAACAAAACACTTTGATTAATTTTAAGATTTTCATTTAAAAACATTTTTTTTAAAGAAACACATTTGTAAAATTACTCCCCTTACTATAAGACATCTTCTCCCCCTTTTTGTTAAATAAAAAAGACTCCATAAAACGTTTTTAAAAAAGATTTTGTAAAAACTTAGCCAATTGATTTGAAATAAATATAGCTTAATCTGCTAAGATCAAAATCAAGAGAAAGGTTAGCCATTAGTTTCATAATTCAATATTCATAAACAATGTGAAATGGTAAATTGGTCATATTGCAACTAAAATGTAAATGATGCAAAACTTAATAAACATTAAGCTCAAATTAAAAATTCAAATCAAACCAAGTATATATATATATATAAACATGTAAGTTCAAATATCCAAACATCCATAGCAAATTCAAATATCCAAGATAAAACAATCCAAAAACATCCAAATGTTTTAACAATAGGTTCTAAATCCAAGAAAACTAAAGCAATATAGGTATAGTCATCCAAAGGAGGATCGAGAGGAGGAGTATGAGCACATCTAAATGTTCTTTCATCTCCCGTTGTTGAGCCCCCATAGCAGTTATATGGGATTCAATGGATGCAAACCTTAGATCAAATGACTCCAAAAACGATCGAAAATATGGAGACATTTGATCCTCTTACTGTACCGGCTCATCCTCCGGAACGTGATCGTCGATGTCTTGAAATAGCTCTTGAAGTTCTGGATCAGCGTCATTTGCTGGTTCCGGTGGAGCTCGTGAAGAACTAGCTCACAGTGTTTGCTCAGTGGATCGAACCCATTGACCAGTTTCCTTAACCTTTTTCCATCCCAATTTCTTTAAGAAATGAGATTGATTTGGTTTTGAAGAGGGATGGGAATATCAACCGAAACCTTATGCCCAAGTTTGATAAATAAATTAGAAAGGAGATAGCCGTAAACTATAGTTTCTACATTTTTAGATGAGACAACGTTTACAGTATCTACTAGCTCACCAAAAATAATATGTGGCAAATTTATTTTTTTTCTATGTTGGATACAATGTATCCACCATAAATATATGACCCTAAGAGAGGAGTACCTACCTCCGGATGGTCTAAACCACCAATATATCATCAAATGAAGGAATTGCTCATGATGAGTTCGTAAAGTACTGACACTACCTTTAGATTGATAGGGTGTAGCCACAATGTCTCTTTCATTATCTACACCATCTTTGTCTAAACAAAATACATTAGCGATTGTGTCCGAGTTGATATAAATGGTTTGATCTAAAAGATAAGATCGAATTCCTATAGTTTTGGTTTGACGCACGTTTTGGACACATAACGCATTGGAGTAGAAAATGCGGACTAATTGGTGATAAACAATGTGCTTAATTTGACACAATTTATCAAACTTCCAGGAACATAGAACAAGAAGATATTCGAAGTTCATATCCACCATTGCTTGAATGGAGGGGATACGTTCCTCTCGGATTTTGTATGATTGGAAAGAATTAACGAATCTATGATATAATTCATCTCGAAGACGACCGGGTTGGTTGAAGCAAGAATTAAGAATGGTTAATTCAGGTTCGTTTGGATTTGGATTTTGTGGTGGAGGAGGAATGGGAGGTCGATTTTGACTCGAACAACTTGATGACGACCTAGGGCGTTTAGGATTAGACATGGTTTATGAAATCGAAATAGGATAGGGTAACCTACAAATTTGAAACACATGTATGCAATTTAATCAATCCCAAAACTAAATTGAGTTCGCAATATTCAAGATTCTCTAAATTTAATCCTAATGGGCAAAGTTTTGAAAACTATTTGGAGAACAATGTTTGAAAAAAAAATCATAATACGTATAGTTTTCATAAAAACAATATAGTTGAAACAAAAACATCAAAACTTAAATATAAAACAATGATTTTCGAAATTATAATATATATATATATATATATATATATATATATATATATATATATATATATATATATATATATATTATTTCGAAAATTCAAAAATTCAAAAATCTTTGAAAAAATTATGTGTTTTTTGATAAAAATTGATTGTAAAATTTAGTTTCTAAACACTAAACAATCAATGCTCGATACTTAGTTCAACCTAGAACTAATCAAAACTAGTCCTAAGTTCAAAAATTAATAAAATAGGGGTTTTTTGAAATATTTCCTTGAAAATTTTGGATTTTGTGGGAATTAGATGTTGTTTGCACGGATTTAATGATGTTAGCAGGATCAGTA